AAAAAATTCTCTTTTACATTTTCAAAACTGTTATAGAAACTTCAAGACTTGAGGTTGTAGAAAATTTTGTAACAAACTTGGCACGAAAAATAATTTTTCAAGTTTCTACTGGATCATTATTAACATGAAAGACACGAGGTTAGTTTATTGTTGGTCAAACAGCATTTCATGTTGATGAAAGTTGGAAACACTGATAATTTCTGACACATTATTCACTCACTTGCTGCAGTATTTTTGCTTTTTGCATCTGCCACAGGCTTTCAGTCCACTCTCCATAACTTTCTTGGTACACTTCATGTTTCCACACTGCACGGGTTTTTGAACATTGGCAAAAAGCTGGTAGCGTGGCGTAATCAAATCTTTCAATGGAAGATTAACAGGATCAAAGAAAGGAAGCCTCCTTTCCTCTGCCTCTTGCCCAAGTTCATAATACTTTACAAACTCTGCCCTGTTATTGGCAAGTTTTGCAAGATAATAACAAGCATTTGGGTAAAATTTAAAACACTTTGGTGCTTCATTTAGAAACTCCTTCAACCTTGTCACAGCAGTGTCTCTTAAATTCTCAACAGTCCATGATTCATACTTTGAAATTTCTCCATCATGTTTGCTTTGTTCAGTTGTTCTAGGAAGGTCTTGGCGAGGATTTTTTGTTTTAGATACTTCTTTAATTGTATACAACTTCATCAAGGAATGTCCTAGTCCCCTTTTGGCATCATAGTATGATGGGCAGCACTTGAGAGAGTTCTCAAATGCCTCAGCTGCTCGCTCAAAGTCTTCTGAAATGGTGTAAATAGCAGCCAAGTGGTAATACAAAACATGAAGCCAGCTGCTGTAGTTCTCATCGAATCGAAATGGTTTTTCACAGGGAGGGCTGTTAGGTTCTGCCTCTTGAATAAAATAAATTAAATTCTTTAGTGTTAATACACCCTGGATGGTTCCTTTCTCACGTAGGATATATGCAAGTAAAAGCCCTTCAAAGAAACAAGGATTTTTATGCAAATTTTCATTGCAAGTGTGAAGAATGTTGTGGGATAAAGACTTTATCTGAGGAAATGTTTGTAGTGTAGTATTCTCTGTCAAGTATCCATGAGCAATAAGCGTAATTCCCCTTCTATTAGTGAATTGACTTGTATTAAGAGTTTCAATGCCTTCTTCCACCAGTTTGAAAGCTTGAAGGTAAATTCTTGCAGTTGGGGACCCATTGAATTGTTGCAGCAATTCTTCTGAAAATGCAAATGGTTGTGAAATTGCTAATGGGTGTTTATTTGCATCAACACTCTGTCTCAATTTCTCATTCATGATACTAAATGATTGATGGATAGCATCTTCACTGATTTCTGAAGCACTGTGCTGTGTGTCTTCACTCAGATTGCACTGCTGAAGAAGCTAAAAAAAAGTAAGAAATAGAAGTTGCAATTTGGAATGTTACCTCTATTAGCAGTATTTTTTTGCATTAATTGGTTACAAAAATGATTATTTACAGAGTGGGTAATCAAGAACTGTAACATTAGCAAGTTCATACAGTCAAGCCTGTATTAGGTAGTGTTGTGACTGATCTGGCCAGCAAATAACAGAGGATTACGCTGGATTGAACCTCAAATGATAGCTTTATTCTGCCTACATGACTTGTGGTCCTTAACAACTACAGTCAGGTGTTACATGCACCACTGAGGGGGAGTCTGGGTCCTAATACACCACAGGTAGTTCTGTATTAACCCTTTCACTCCTATGAGTGACCAAGACAGAATTTCTCCTTACATTATTAATACAATATCAAGCAGACAAGTGATGAGAATAAAGAAAAATATCAATAATAGGATAACTAGTTGATCCAATACCAAATTCTCTGAACTAACGTCATAAGAATTGTATAGCAGACAGTAAGGAGAATTACTATTGAGATCTTGAGAGTGAAGGGGTTAAGTAGTCACCCCAAAATAAGCAGTCAGTTGCCAAAGTCCCAAAATTCTTTCCCCTTAAACACTAATTTTTATCCCTTTGAAGCCATCACCTCTGTAAGCAGTCGTGGTCACCCTCTAATGAGTCCCAGTTGCCTTTTTCTATTGTCTTCCACCTGTATTAAACATTCATATTTATACCCCAAAATCATTGCTACTAGTATCTTTAAGCAAGACTAGTGTTTTACTGTGGTGTGGTCAACTATGGAATAAAATGGCATTTTTAATAGTTTTTTAAAAATACCCCCACTCTGTATGTGGTACCTGCATTAAGTGGTTAACCTGTGCTAAGCGGTCACCCACCATTCCCTTGATACAGGTCCAACTGTATGTGCTCTCAAAATCATTTTTAGACTTTTCATTGTGTTTTTTGTTTTTACCATGCTGTTTTCTGATACTAGTAAATACCTGATCTTATACAATTTACAAGTACCTTCACAGTTCATAGGTTTTTTTCTTTTGTTTTCCAGAGTTCTTTTCATACAAGGCCCATCTTTAAACTTCCCTCTCCAGATGATATTTGTATCGTGTCTTTTTTTTAAGCATGTTGAATTAGAGTGATCAGATATAGAACAAAAAAAAAAAGCAAAACAACTAGGATAAACCAAAAACAAACATATTTTGAATTTTAAAACTCTTTACTCTCTCTTTTTATTTTTACCATTGTGGATTGTTGCTGATGCACACCATTAACTTTACAGAATCCTCTTTCCATCCTTCACCTTATCTCCCCCCTGTTACTTTTTGGTTCCACTGAGAGAGATGGGAGTGAAAGAAAAAAGGGACAACAGAATTGGCTATGACAAGACCACACATCCTGTCTCTACCAAGTCTTGTCCCATTCTCTTCCCACCCAAACCTCTGGCTTCATATCAGGTTACTCACCTGACCTGCCTTTGCATCACCATTAGCAGAAGCTTTTTCCAACCAACGCTTTGCCTTTCTCAGATCCTTTATTTGCTCGCAACTTCCAGTCATACATATCCATCCCAGTTCGCACTGTGCGTCTGTATCGCCTTGTTCAGCTGCTTTGGTTAGATAGTAAACAGCTTTCGTTGGTTGTGGTCGTCCCTCTGGGCAATCACCCTCACGATAGTACTTGTACAGAAGTCTCAGAGCCTCCGTTCTTGTTCCAAAGAGAGCGTCCTTTATTTTCCTGACTGTTCCAATATTAAGATCACGTACTGATGCCCTTTCACCAGCTGCTTTTTGGTACCATTCGAACGCTTCCTTAAGGTCTTTGTTCACTACTCCCTCAACCCCACATCGATACATTTCCGCTAAGCTGAGCTGCGATTTAGTGCAACCCATTTTCGCTGCTAGGTGATACATCTCGTACGCTTTACGCTGATGCTGAGTTGTACCTTTCAGATCAAGTAACTCGCCAAGTTTTCCACACACAGATGGTGAAAGATCGCCATTTTCTACAGCAGCATTGAGCCATCCTAGGGCTTTTTCAAAGTCCTTTTCCACGAAATCTTGTATACCTTCCGCATAGGCAAAACCAAGATCAGCTTGGGCAGAGGTATTTCCATTCTTGGCTTGAGTGATTAAGTATTCTACTGAATCATATTTCTCTTTATAACGTTTTCTTATATCGAAGTCACTTAAATTTAAAGGATCCACGATAGCCTGCATTGCTCTTGTCTTATTACGGTTGGTTGACGTTTCATGTTATTTCGGCCATGTTTGACTTGGAGTGGACGGTGGGGGAGAGGGTGAGGGAGGGCGAGTAGTCCCTTAAATTATTGTTATTACCCCGTTGGAACTCTGGGATAGATGTCGTATGAAAGGAAAATGGCGGCAAGCGAACTGGGCGGGTTATCTCAAAGTGGGTAAGTTTTGTTCCTTTCTACACAATGAACAATTTGTGACTGTTTATTGCAAGCTACAGAATCCCTTTATCCTTACAGCAGGGCTAAAATCGGTTTTGCTAGAAAGGGGAAATGAAAGAAAAAGTACGAAGTTTGCCATAGTGTTGTCGGATTTCTCAAACCTTTAGCGAAGATCACGAGATTAAATTACATTCTGGTGGCTAAGGCTGCCTGTCTTTTGTTTCTAAACATTTTTTAGAGTGTTTCTGCGCCAGAATAGGAAGATAACAACGACAATTTACAAAGTGATGCAGAAAATATATGTAATAATTCATCGATTTTATTCTGTCAGCTGAAGTAGAATCCAAGGTTTCTAAAGTAACTTAGTCATGGTAGAATGGTCTACAGATGACTGAAGTTTTGTTCACATGAATGTTATTTACGACTTCCTAAAGTTTTTACTATCTTAGGAGTTTTTCTTCAAGCTTAAAAGTACTAAGACTGAAACACAGTGATAAAGTTTATACTTCGGAATAGTTAACGCACTGTGCTACATAAATAATGCACGTCTTTCTTTTGCCACAAAGTGAAAATAAAATTACAACCCAGCAAGTATTTTGTCACATGTGTAGTGACAACAATGGATAAAACAATAAATATTGTATTCCCAACCTTGATAATTTACTTGATTGCCATTGATATAACAATAGAAATTTTTAAAAGGGAATAGAAATATCTATTGCTAACAAAGTTCTCAGTCCTCACTTTAAGTGTTGTGCTTGGGCCATATATGTAAGTGGGAAAAAAAGTGAGGTTCTGTAATTTAGAGTACAGACTGAGAAAACTGCATCAGTAACATATTTATTATACCTCTTGGTACCTTTTGACCCTTAAGAGTGACTAGCATCCAATTTCTCCACACAAAATCACTCTTGAATCAAACGCAAGGAAATCATCAGTTCATAAGGAAGCTCATGATTGATATACAAATTCTCCTTGTCAGCACCTAGGGAATGTATAGAGAACAGTATGGAGAATATGCATACTGATGTTAGGCTGTAAAGGGTTAAATGGAGAGGGAAGTGTTCAATTCAAACGAAATTTTGCATCTAGTGGGCTCTACAGTGAAATATTGCCCACTGAATTGACCAGTCATAGCACACATGCTAACTGAGAGATATAATTAAAAAAAAAAACTTCATTCATGTTCTTAAAAGAATCTCTGGTGAAGTAGAAGGTGCTAGGGCTAGGGTTAGAAGAATTAGGCATTAATTAATTTACAACTTGAATTAAAATTTGTGTTCCAATTTTCATTTATATTCTGGGAGATGCAGCAACCTTTGGACTTTTTCATCCTTTAGGAATGGAGTGGTCCTTGATTTACAGAAGTTTCAACTGACACCCATGGATACTGTTAATGCTGAACATTTGGAGCTCTTAATATTGTCATCCAATCCTGAGAGTGGTATTGACAAGAGTTGCAGTGAATCTGAGAATGTTTCCACTGCTGTTGAAGTGGAAACTGTGATGATAGCAGAAGAAGCTGGAATACTTGTTCCAGATGATAGTACTTCATTGGCTGAAACTGCTGAAGGAAGTAGCTCATATAAAGTTAACACTGTGGGCGACAAGCAGTTCAAATGTGAACAGTGTGACAAGATGTTCTCAGGAGCTTCCAGTCTAAGCCGACACATTAAAACCCACAGCAACATAAAGCCATTTAAATGTGATGAGTGTGATAAAGTTTTCTCCAGATTGTCAAGCTTGAAGAGACATCAAAACTCCCATGCTGCAGAGAAACCTTTTAAGTGTCAAGTATGCGGATCAAGTTTTATCCAGAACTCTGATCTGAAAATCCATGAAAGAACTCACACAGGTGAAAAACCATTTTCGTGTGATCGATGCGAGAAAGCATTTGGATGCAAGAAACGGCTCAGGGCTCACTACAGGATGCACACAGGAGAAAAACCCTACAAATGTCCACAATGTGAGAAGAGCTTTTCAATGAGGAAAAATGTGATTCAACATATTCGGATTCATACTGGAGAGAGACCCTACACTTGTGAAGTGTGTAAGAAAAACTTTCGTCACCAACACACACTCAAAAAGCATTTGCAACTTCACACAGTGAGACCAAATTTTACAAAATTAAGGTAAGCTTTTTTCCATGCATCCTTAAGTTCTACTATAGCACTTCTATCAGCTGAGCATTCTGGTTATTGAATTAATCGAACTTCACGAACTGTGCCATATATATGTTATTATATTTTGTCTATACATCAAATTTCATCTCTCAACTGAAATTTCCTGTTCATTGTAAAGAAAGGGAGGGAGTTGTGGTGACCTGGCACTGGTTGTTTGAAGGTTGGATTATGCTATCCACCAGATAATCTGTCCAGTGGATAGTGCAGTACGTTTTGCAGTCACTTATCCTCCAGGGCTGGGTTGTTCAAAGCTGGATTAAGATAACCCAGTGTTAGTGTGAAATTTGATTTCAGATCCGAAAGCTCTAAAAGAAAATTCAGTTTAATTCCACTTGTCTACAATTTGATGATTGAATGTCCTAGAAAGAATTAGAAAAACTATCCCAAAACGGCTTTTGATCAGAGAAAT